ATGGAATTCTAAAGGGGTTTTTTTTTTGATTTTTTTTTTTTTTTTTTGTAAAGCTTAAATGGAATCTACATCTGATACTTGAGCCTCCATACTAAAGGAAAAAAAAAAGAAAAAATTACGAAAATAAAAAAATAAAAATTAAAAAAACCAACCCCATGAGCAGTTTGGTATCCTTCTTGCCTCCCTTTTACTTGGGTTGTGTTACTGGGGGTTTGTGCCATAAGCAGGTTCCTTCCCAGCAGCTGGAATCGCTCCGTGCGGAGGCAGCTCCGGAGACTGCACGGCAAAGGCGCGTTCGGGGGGAAACGGGGGCCTTTAGGCACCTCGGGGGCAGAGGAGAGGTTTTTGGGTGCTGGTGCTTGGAGGCGGCCGTCGCGCGTCCCCCGGCCGGTGCCCCGTTTGCCGCGAGCTGCGTGGGCGCTCGGTCCCGGCTCGTGCTGCACGCGGCCTCCGGCAGCAGCCTCCGAGCAAAGCGCGCGCCTTGGCGGTGCCGCTCACGCGCTCCGCTTGGGCTCTGCTTTTGCTTTTCCAGCACGGCCTGTTCAACACCCACGCAGCTGCAGGCAGTTAGTCCCGTGCTGACGCATTCACACAGGGGCCTCCGGGCTCTAATGGGGCTCAGCTGGGGGTCAGGGGGGAAGAAGGGAGCCCCTGGAAGCAGCTGAGGTGCCCAGGAACTGCAGTGCAGCACTGGGGCTGCCCCGCTCTCTCCCAGGACACCCTGTTTGACTCCCCTTGTGGCAGGACAAGCAGTGGGGAAGCTTTGAGGTTGCTTTGTGCAAAGCTGCCCCCCTGCGCACGAACGCCCCTGGAAGAGCATCTCCGTTCAGGTAAGTTTAACGTATGGCCCTGCAGCACAGAGGAGTTTCCCTGTCCCAGGGTGGTGATGCAGCTTTAATCTGGTGCAGGGGGTGGCTGGGCTCTTCAGCACCAACAGGAAGCACCGTCCCCGTGCCGGGAAGGGCAGCTGTCCCAGCGGGGGCAGAGCAGAGCCATGGGGAAGGAGCAGCCGCATGCGGAGCTGCGGGAAGGAGAGGCCGCGGCTCATAGGGGTGAACGTGGGAAAGTGGGAAAGGAAGAGGGTTTCTCCTCTCTAACCTTCAGCCGAGGGGCTGCAGCCCTAGTTTGCCCCAGCAAGGCCTGGTTAGAAACGAGGGGAGGCGAGATGAAACCAAAGGGATCCGTGCAGTTCAGAGACAGGGGGAAATGAGGCTAACAGAGGCAGCAACAGCTACATAAACCCCCTCCCTGCCAAAAAACGGCAATAGAGGTACAAGGGCCAGGGCTTGTTTTTACAAAGTGCAAGGCACAACCAATAAAATACATCTGTGCAGATTAAAACCTTTTTGCACCCCTCACCGCTGGCTCTTCCAGCAGTGGAGACGAGAGCAGCCCCGAGGGCAGGACAGAGGCAGCGGAGCTCGTGCCAGTGTCAGGCCGCTCTTCACTCCGTCCCTGCCCCACAGCTCCCTGAGTTCTCTTTGGTTTTGCCAGTAACAGAAGCTCGAGATCCTTGGAGACGGCGCACGGAAAGCAGAAGTGACCGAGCACGGCCGCGGGGCTCCAAGCAGCCTGCTGAGGTATCCAGTTCCTCCTGCTCCTCCGCTCAGCATCGCCGGCATCGACACGAGGTCTCCCACAGGGACCGGGCAGGGCGCCCTGCAGCACAACACGTCCCTCCCTGCCTCTCCCAAGGGCCACCCAAAGACAGCGACGGGATGGAGGATCCAGGCTGCCCAGCTCTAAGGTCACCTTTGTCGCCTGTGTCTCCTTGTCCTTGCGCCGCGTCAGCTGTCGAAGGGCTCGTCCTGCTCACCGAGAAGTGCATCCCTTTCCTCTGGAGCACCGGGCTTTCCTCCCCGGTAAGCAAGGAACTGGAAGGAAATCTGGGAAGCAGTTAAGGCTCCACGCAGGGAAGTGCAGCAATCCGCGTGACAAACTGAGCCTCACCACCCCAACAGAGAATGCTGTTGTTTTGCTTCGATGTGGCAACAGCACAAAGCGTCACGCAACCCCGCAGGCGACTGAGCAGTCACAACCGCGCGGCTGAGTCACCCGCACGTGAGGGAGGAAGGATACGATGAGGTCAAGGGAGAGGACGCCCAGGCTGCCCACGAGCCAGGGCAGGTGGTGCAGGAGGTAGTCGCTCTGGCTCTGCCCCGGCTCCGGGTTCTTGAGGAGCACGCTCACGCCGTACAGCGTGTTCCCCAGCATCACCAGGGCAAAGAGCGAGTACGAGACCCCGGCAGTCGATTTCCTCTTGTACTGAGGAAAGAAAAGCACCCACTCGCGCGCCTTTCCGCTCCCCCTTATGCTTGTCAGGAAGGGGGAACTGAAAGCCTCATACTTTGAAATTGCATTTCAAAAGGAATGGAAAAAAAATCAGAATCCTAACTAAACACCCCACTATCCCCCCTTAATTTATCATCACAAGCTGAAAAAGCCTGGGCCACCACCCTCCCGTCCGCACATGCTATGGCACTTACATTAGTGTAAATCGGGGGGAGTCGGGAGCACAAGTAGAGCACAGAGGAGATGGAGCCAATGACGAAGCCGATGATTTCATTCCTGGAGAATGGCTGCAAGGCAAGACAGGCCGTGAACAACCCGTGTTTCCCCTGGGATGCATCACTTACCGGAGCCACCGACCCGCACAACAAGAGAGCGACCAAAACAAGTATCTTCTTCCTCCCACTGTTCCCCGCCTGGTTAATCCCCCACACCAAGTGGGATTACGCTGCATTGACAGGGATGTTTAGCAGCACACGCAATCCCCTGCTATTTATTAATGTTTAATATTGTCAGCCCTACGAACAGGGTGTCTTGTCTTGGCGGGTATCGGAGCGCTCACCGTGTCCCCGGCCTCCTGCACGCTGGGGGCCAGGCGGGCCCTTCCTCGGAACACGTCGGGGTCTCTGCCCAGCAGCGACACGGTCGACACCGTTCCCAGGAAAACGAAGACGAAGGCAGCGTTGATGGGAGCCCCGACTGCAGGGGAGCAAGCAGAGGGCGTTAGGAAGGGCTCATGTGCCCGCCTGGCTCTGCCCTTCTGCCCAGAGTATTGTGGAGTGAGGGGTTAAAGCTCTATCTTCATCTGTGGCTACACAGTTAGTACAAAGCACTTGGGGCAATGACTTGCCTGGGCTTTTTATCTCACAGTGATAAGGGCTATTTGCAGCTTATCTGGGAGGAAACCGTTCCTATCTGAGCTGACCAAAACAGTAAAGTTTCATTTGGTTTGAGGGTTCTTAAAGGAGAGAAGAAAAAAAAAAAATCTTCCCACCCATCTTGACTTTTCACTGCCTCAAATCACAGCAGTGAAATTCAAATCCCTGCGGAGCCCTTTGACAGCAGAACTCTCCTGGCAATGCTGGCAACACAGTTTGTCCTTCCTAGCCCTCCTCTTCAGATGACTATTGTCCAACAGGGTTTGCAGGCCCTTCTGTACATTAATGACCTGGGTACCTCTTACTAGCTCTGCCCAGCCTGGTCCAGCCACGGGAGCAAGCAGGGCTCTGCTTGTGTTGGATTCGGTGAATAAGGTCTCCAGTGGGGATGCTGCCCTTTCTGTCAGGCGGCTTCACAAGTTAAAGCAGTTTCAGGGGCCTGAGGGATTCTTGTTTGCAGCACGTGGGAAGCCACTGTATTAAAGCAGCTTCTCTCTTGCGGCATCAGCCTTACGAGAACTGCAGCGCAGCTAAACGCTGTTCCCTTTTCGGCCACATCCAAACCAGGAGGAAGCTCTTCCTGCGGCCTCTCCCGAGTGCCAAGTCTTTGCTTTCTTGTAAGAGGGGGACTGAGCTGCACCCTCGGGCCCTGGCCTGGATTTGGCGCCAGCTGCAGCTCCATGGGGAGATGCTGCTGACCGCGGGCAGGTCACCTCGTCCTGGGCTCATCCCACCCCGCAGGAACCTCCAGCCCAGGCACCACGCAGCTTCCTTGCAAGGCAGCAGCTCCCCAGGACCTGCAGCACCATCTAAAGGGGCTGCTTTCACCAGGGCTCACATGAAGGCAGGAGCCAGCAAGCAGGAGCACCTGAGGCTGTGCTGGCACATCTGCAAGAGACCCCTGCCCAGGCGGAGTGTCCCTGGGGAACTGCTCTCTGTGGCAATGCTCTCCTGGCTCCAGAGCCAAGGATTAGCCGTCTTTAAAGGTGCTGGAAGGGGGGAGCACTGTCCGCTGCAACTCACATCCTCTGCTTCGGTTCTTGGCTTTGTAGTAGCAGTACAGAAACAGCATGACCAGGTCTGCCAGCACGTAGTAAATGGCCGTGTAGATCTGCGGGAGAAGGACAGCGTGAGAGGGCTCCCGCACGGAGACCTCCCTGCGCGCCGAGGGAGGGCTGCGCACCCCTAGCTGCAGCCGTGGCTTCGAGTTCCCATCCAAGAGCAGCCCTGAGCAGCAAATCCCCAGGGAGAAGGGGCACAGGTTGCCCTAGGCAGGGGCAGGTCCCAGTGCAGAAGCAAAGAAGGAGCAGCCAGGCAGATGGAGCGGGTCCCTCCTCTCCCTGGAGCCTCTGGGAGCTGTTCCCAACACTCCCGGGTGGTCAGCAGGTACCTGCAGGGGCAGCTGATTCGCAAGGAAAGAACCGATGAGATTGAGGAGGTCTCCACCCAGCCATCCCAGCAGGAAGTAGATGGAGAGAGCCTGGTCCATGATGCCGGTCTTGCAGGCTTGGTAAAACTGCCTGCAGAGAGGGATGGAAGCAGACACAGACCATGAACTCCAAGCAGCCGTTGAGCATTACCCAAAAAGCCGCACACAGTTTCCCCTTTGCTCCAAGTAGGGGCAGAGCAGTGTGCAGCTGCCATCTCCAATTTACCCAGTGCCTCCTGCTAGGACTGGATAAAACACTAGGGCGCAAGATTGTCACAGCGCCCGCCTGGTTGCAGCCCTGGTCACTTGTGACTCGCCATGGCACCCCAGACTTGGGGAACGACTGGTCACCCTCGGCTGGGCCTCGCAGGGAGCAGAGCCGGTGCTTGCAGCAGAGCCCGGCGCAGCCCTCGCACTCAGGCCCTCCTGACTCCGAGTCATCCTGCGCTTGGAGCCGGCGGGAGAAGCTGCACCGAAGCCTCTCGAGCAATGAGAGAGCCCAGGGATGAGAGGAGATGGGGCAAAGTG